TCGCAATTCATCACCTCAGTATCTACATATGCTTGTGTGTACAGTGGACGTACTTGCCTTCAATTTCTCGCACAAATGAATCCAACAACAATTTGCCAGATTTGTTAGTTGTTATCATTCAGCCCTTAAGTAGATATCTGAGCCGACTTGGATGTTATACTAATAAGAGGCTGAAGTTATTATTTTAAGAAGAAAAATATAAATTACCTCCAACATATCTCCAATGTTGACAATGAAAGCATTAGGGAGAAAAGTAACAGGGATCCATGAGCCATCCTTTCTGATCTGAAGACCTTGGTCTGCTTCATTGACTTGGAGGAGAATGGTGAGACCACTCCCATCAGAATGAGGACTGAGCCCGTTTACAAGCTCTGGTTCGGGGCATGGCGGATAATAGTTCATCCTCATCGATTGCCACCCTTCTTCGAAAAATTCTCTCATTTCTTTTTCCTCCAGTCCAAGTGCTTCCACCATTGCCCCTAGTATATTTAATGCTAGCTTTCTCATTTCTGCACTGTATGCCTCTAAGTCATCCCTGCAGTTATTTGTCACTCTCCATATTATTACACTATCCGATTTTTTAGTGTCAATCATTGTTTGACTGATTTGTCCGTGATAATTTAATTAGTATCATTATTCTTCTATTCTTCTCCAAGTATAATCATGCCATTCAAAAGTACGACTAGCTACTTGGTAGGCCGGCATCAAACTAATTATTGTCACTTCCATGCTAACTTCAGTTATTAGCTAGATGTTTTACGTTTCAACCGTACGTGGCCTCCATTTGTGCCCAAACAAACGCTGGCCTCCATAGCACAAACTCTTCTTTCAGGTGAGGAATGAAAGACAATTACTAATCAAGAAAATATCATTTTTCACACTTCATTTTTTGATGATTTAATTTTGATGTATTTCTAATATGAGCTTCGTATGTAGAGATGCAAAAAGATCAGCACATGGCATTAATGATTTCGCTTTTATGAAGTGAATGATGCATGTTACCTCCACCAACCGATTGCACTAGTTGCTGCAGCTATAAGACGTAGCACTCATAAGATCTTAAACTTGTATGTAGCAAAACTATATACATTTAGATTGTGGGTTTTCCTCTCCTTCAATGGCTTGAGCGACTTACAAAAGTCAAGATCAAATCAATATGTAGTTATGGATTTTAAAGGTAACATAACACACGTAATAAATTTAATTTGAGGTAATTAAAGATTAGAGAGTAAAGCTAAGGTACTTAATTACTTGAAAGGAAGAGGAAGATTGGGAAAGAGGTGGGGCTTTCTGAGAGAAGGAGGATGAGTAAGCATGTAGAACATGTCAGCCCAGTCCAGCTTCTGCTCCTCACTGACCACAAAGCCCTGACCAAACCCTTCCACATCTTCTGCAGTCTGCCAAAATTTCTTCTTCTGTTCCATTGGTAGATTCAAGAATTCTCGGATTCCGTTCTTCACTCTCTCCACCAGAGACTCTTCCACTCCATGATTTATGACCTGTATATATGTATTGATTATATACATATATTTACATTACGCATGTTCAGTGGAAAGACACACACACACTCATGCATGATCGATGTTGAGGGAAGAAGTACAAGAGAGACCTGGAAGAAACCCCAGTGTTGGCATGCGGAGTGGAATTTGTGGAGCTCAGAGGCCTTCAAATCAGGAGATAAATCAGAGAAGTCGATTATGGGAACTTGAAGTGAGAAGTTGACGGTGGATGAGAATGGATCTGCATCTTCTTGCTGTGCATCATGATGAGAACGCACATATCTTGGAGGAACTCTGCTTAAGGACTCCTTTGCCAACTCCTGAACTGAAGGCACCGGAAGCGAGCTTCCTAATTTCATTATTTCTCTCCTCAACTTAATCGGCCGCTATCTCAATCTTCCCTTTCCTTATATGTGTGTGTGTGTGTGTGTGTGTGTGTTAAGGTACCAGGAGAGGAAGGAACTTTTGTTTTCGAATTTTCATGATCGATGGAGGATGCGAGGCTGCGAGCGAGCACAGAATGTAATGTGAGTTGGCGCCTCAGCGGTGATCATTTAGTTCACGCAATGCAGATTTTTTCTTTTTTCTTTTCTTTTCTTTTCTTTTTTTTTTTTTGTGGACACCTGAAAATTAGTTCAGATGAAATGTCTCGTTGCTATGAATTTCAGCAAGTGTTCGGTGTTTTCTGGCAAATGTGATGTCATGTCGGCTCTAGGAAAAATCACGTTATAATCCGAAATATTGGAAAATATAATAGAAGACTACGTCGGTCTTTATCTAGAACAAAAAGATAGCGATAATGCGGCTCTTCTCTTTGGGGTCAGGATCGAGAAGAGTGGATAGGCCAAGATGGAGAGGCCTTGGATGTCCCACGACAGAGCATGCATGAGCGCAAGGGCAATTGTCCCCATTTTGGGTCTTCTTTCTCAAGAGACCATTGGGCCAGACTATGGTTTTGACACTCGGAGTTGGGTCCATATGGACTACGACCAGCTGAAGAAATTAGCTGAAAAGAATAAAGCTGTGAATGGAAATTTTAACCCCAAAAAAAAAAATTGTGAATGGAAAGTGATAAGTTGATTTGTGAATTACAGATGGGTGTGACAAAGACAGCACGAGGCAGTGGTGAAAGGATTCCTAACATTATTATGAGAGTATGCGTGAAGTTTGACCGAGTGTGGTTCGTGTGCTGGAAAAGCACTTAATTTGTTTGCTATGTGTCTTTATCACAAACGTGACTTGCCTGCTTCATTATCTTGTTTCCGGTTTTAAAAACTCAAATAAAGCAAGCACGTTTTTTAGTTTGTGGTTCTATGATTCATTTAGGGAGAATGGTTGGCAAAATTCTGTTGGACTCCAGTTTTGCCATATTTTCATGGCCAAGAAAAAGGGCTGGTTCACTCAGCGCTCCAGAAATTAATATTTTCGTTCTAGAATATTCACGTGTTCTAGTTTATGAGCACTAGAATCGATAATTCAAGCAGGCCGAATTTATTTAGATAACCTGACTAAGCTTAAACTTATAAAAGTCTGAATAGCTAAGCTCCAGTCATAATTTTTTTGGGCCCTTGGTGCATTCATCCTGTCCCAAATACACCAAATTCTTGAATTTCTTTTAAATTATTTTTAAAAAAAATTTCAGTTTTTATTTGAAACTTATATTTTATTTTATAAAATACTTTAAAAATTAGAAGACTCAAATTTTTTTTTAAAAAAAATTTGTGGGTCTTAAAGTTAAAAAAATATGAAAATATATTTTAAATATTATTTCAAGAAAATTTATGAATTAAAAATAATAAAAATATAACAATATGGACATTTTTTATTTTTAAAGAAAATATCTCTAATAATATATTCAAATATTTCCTCTGTTAAAAAATATAAGGCATTTTTAACCAAATCTCACCCCCATAAAGTAATTACCTACTTTCAAACTAACTCTATCTTTTTATATTTACATTTATTAAACACCCTACAATGAATATAAAGTCATTCATCAACAGGGGTACGTTTAAAAAAAGACAATGATTACACCTCAAACAACTAAAAATGCCGTACATTTTTTTAATATCTAACTTTTCAAAAAATGTATTATATTTTTAAATGGAGTGAGTATATGATATATTCGTATAAAATGAATTAAAATATAAATGAATAATTAATATTTAAAATATATTTTAAAAAATAAAATTTTGTTCGAGTATCCAAGCCCTAAAAAAATTTACTATGTTACTAAATTTGGCTCTGAATTTTCTTCGGCTTATTATGATGACCTAGTGGGCATCAATATGGTCTCGATCCTGGTTCAGTCGGTCGTTACCAGTGGTCCTGTCCCAATTAACACTAGCATTTCAGTCCTAATTGTCGCTTGTGGTCTCGATAGATGTCAGCCAAAAGCAGAGATGTTGAAGTCAAGAAGGTAGCGAAGTCGATGAATGAATGTGATGGAAAAGAGAAGCTTTTATTGAGATTTAAAATAATATAAATTTAAAAAAATTAAAATTATAAAAGAATTGAGGTAGGATTCTAAATTCACATGTTTTTAATTACTGAAACAATAAACTTTGCTCATATCCAAATTCAAATGCAAATCTACGTGCATTCAAATATAATATTATGTTATGTTTGAATACATATAAATTTGAATTTGGCTTAAATTTTTTATTTAGACATTTAAAAATTTATGAATTTGGATTTTATCCAAATCCAAAATTTATTTAAATTCTGTTATAATTTAAAATCCTTTATAAGCTCTTATTATTTTAAATCTTTAAATATACTCTCAAAATATTACCTAATAATAATAATAATAATAATAATCTTTGTTATTTAAATTATCCAAACAATAAATTTTAAATACATCAATTTGAAATCCAAATCCACCCAAACAAACACTACATGAGAACATTTAATATTCATTAGTCACAATTCTCATAAGTGTTCTGAGTGAGAGAGTGCATTCAATTTCCTCACAAATATTATGGGTCTATTTAAAATTATTTTTATTTTATTATTTTAAGAACTGGTATCAATCTCTTTAATCAATTCACGTTAAGCCGAGCGCGCCTCATCATATGGCTCTTGACATATTATCCTGTAGGATGAATAGTTCCGGCTCATATGAATAGTGCCGGCTCATCTTTGGCTCTGAACTTCTTGATGCTTTTTGGTACGTCTATGTTTCCCATTTTTTCAAAAAAAAAATTAAAACAATTCGATTTTCATGCTTCCCTCTCTTTTTAAAAGTTGGCTCTTATCGTTATCAACAGGGCTTGTGTTGGATTCCTTTCTTTCCATGTAATATGGCTTCTATTACGTTGTGCTTCTGCATTTCTTTTCAGATATGTTCGTGCTTCATCATCACAGTGCTTTAAGACGTGTCTTACCCATACCGGGTCTGTGTTCATTCAGTATTCCTTTACTCTTGGTTTTGTTTCTCAGTGTGCGTGAGGATTGAGGTTTCTTTTCTATTCCTGCGTTCATTTAAGTCATTTAATTTTTTGCACCTTTCAGTTAATTTGTTGGTTAAGTGATTTCATTTAATATGATGCAGGGATTTATTGCAACCACCTACTAAGTATCTTGGTGCCTTTATATTCGCCTGTTGCTCTTCTCTTTAGCTCACACCGTCATCTCATCATATCTCTCTGCCTTCCTCTCGCTATTGTTTCTCTCTAATCTTTGTCATCTTCATCTCCGTTTCTCCATCATGTCTTATGTTTTTACTTGGAAGTTGAGTGACCTTCATCCATCAGACACTTGCTAGGAGATCCGTGTTCGAGTGAATCATGGTTTTCTGAAAACAAAGCTCGATATCTATGGAGCAGAGCATGGCGAAGAAATTACTTTCACTTGACTTTATCTTTGTTGATAATCATGTATGTTGAGTGATTCTTTTTTTTCCTTTCTTTGGTGTTAATCTTTCTTGGTGTTCGGTGCTGATTTTTTTTTCTTTTGTCATCTTTTTTCTTCTCACCCTTGTCGACACTTGGTAGAGTGAAAGGATGCTTGCTTCAGTAGTTGGGGACCATCTCATCTAACATTTCTTTGGAAGCATTGATGAGGGAAAGTGCTACTATATCAAGGGCTTTACTGTTCAACTTGGGGGTGAAGGATTGAACAACCACTGCAAGATTATCTGTGGAGCTCGGACTGAAGCAGAGGAGTGGGACGTCTTGATGGTTGAGCATGGTTTCTGAAAATCTTCTTATTGGTTCTAATATGCAGGGATTAAAGCCATAAGGAACTTTTCTCCAACTACTCGTGTCTTTTGGAGTCCTGAATCTGTTGAAGCTGGTCAGAAGATTGCTGCCCTTGTCCAAGCTTACTCTCCTAAATGAACTCCATGATGATCAGCCTCTTTTGTGTTTATTTTTGTTTTTAGGCCCATGATATGTGAATTAAAAGAACCAGTTATCTTCTTTAGGACTTATGTTGTCCTACTTCAATAGTCAACTAATATTTTCTCATCTTTTATTTTCTGGCTCCACTTTTGTAATTATCCATGCTGTTTCTTTTATATTATGTGGACGATTCCGATTCTCTTGTGGTGGGAATATTTAGTGTTGATATGAACAAGTTGTGGCAGTGTTTCACTTTTCTCTTTCTTCTACTATATTGTGCTTTTTAGTCTTTTATTTACTCCCATGCCCAGCATATAATTATCCCAAACATTGCAAAGCAACGCTTCAATTGCTCCTTTTCACCTTAATTTTCAGTCTTCAAGTTTCATATTTTGCCTGTGTCATTAATTTCATTTTTCATCTAAATTTTAATGACCACTTTAATTGTATGCCTTAATATACAATATGAAGTTAATGAAATGCCTTACGTATAATATTTTGTGTCATACTCATTTACTTCTAGAAGTCTTTATATGATTATATTAGGCAAATGCATTTAGTATACTTTTATATGCTTTTAAAATAAATATTTTATCAAAATATTTAATTAAACAAGATAGTCTTTTCAAATTTTGACGTAGACCTTTTGTTCATCTTACTGATAAACTTTTTCTTCACATTTTGAGAGAATTTTTACATTAAATAATTATCACATTTTTAATTGGTAAGGGTCACCAAAATCTTTTATTTTTTGTTATACCCACTGACGGTTATAATTATTGACAAGGGCCACCAAGATGTCTTATTTTTTTAATGTTTTTATAACTATTTCTAAACTATCAATTCTTTTGTTTGGATTGATATACAAGCTAAAGCGAATCAAACAATTTTATTATTTGGAAATTTTGTATTCCATTCTTTTTAGGACTGTTTAATGCCTGTCATTTTCGTCAAAGGCCACCAAGGTGTTTTATTTTAAATTTTTTTTTCTTGCTTTTTGTTTAGCTGAATACTTGTGGAGTTTTTAATTTTTCATTTTACATTTATGGAGTCTCGATTTCAATGATTCAATTTAATTGTCTTCATTTTTGTTCAGATGAATAGTTATTTCATTTAATGAAGTTGTCTATCTGTCAGTAAAATTAATTTTCCCATATCACCACTGTTTGGGATACTCATTGCTACGCGCTGCTTCTTCTTGCCTATTTTCTGATCACCACTGTCATTAGTAGACATTCTTTCTAATCACATTAATAACATTGGAAAAGCATTTGTCATTGCCGTCTAACTCTTGTACGTTAACCAAAGCAAGGTCGACATCTGATTAATTGATCAGCACAATGATTTTTGTTCTCTACACTTCACTGTCATTCTCCCATCTCATATGCCTCGGTTTTATTTTCATTTCCCATTATGACCTTCTCTTCAGCTGACCCAGACAATTAATTTCACTCGAATTTTTGTCGGATTCATTTTATCTTTCACTGACCTATCTATATATATTTCTCATATCGTCTAATATATCTGCTCATCACATCCATTCATCGTTATATCATCATTTCATTTTCAATGCTAAATGGCTAATCCTGGTTACTCATTTCTTGATGCCATACGTCCCGGTATTGATGGCTGGAGAATTTGCGTGCGTGTGGCTCGTGGCTTTGTCCATAGCTACCCATACGCAGGTCATTTCTGGCATGGTTTCTTCAAGAGACTTCACTCCCTAAATTTTGTCCTTATTGACCACAAGGTTTATGTTAAAGTCTCTCCATTTTTCATTATGTTCACTATTCATTTGAGCTTTCTTTCCAGTATCATCACTTGCAGGAACCTTTTTTATGTTGTTTCACATCTCAGGGGAATCGCATGCGCGCTGTCATTAGTCAAGAACGCCTTGTAGAACGTTTCCTCAACTTGATAACTGAGGGCAACTGTTATCTCATTACTAACTTTGATGTTGCATATTGGGGAGATGAGGTGCACCATAAGTACCAAATTCATTTTCATTCCAGGACCACTATTGAGGAATGTCGTACTGCACTTCAAATTACTGCTTCAAGTTTGTTAACATTGGATACTTGAAGCGAAGCTTTACACTTGAGAGACAATGCTTCGGTTGTCCTTTATTGTCAATGCATTTTGCTTCTATTCACAGTATCAGTTTTTGTCCTCAACCTTTCATTTATGCAATTTATCAGCCCCTTACATTATCTTTTCATCATTTCCTGCACACGTACACCTTAATCTTATTATTGATCTTTATATTTTACAATAGATGTGTATGGAAAGCTGATTCAAATTCATCCTTTAGAATTGGTTTGGAAGGCTGCAGACTTAACTTACCAGCTTATCCTAACCGTGCAAAATCCACATAACCTGACTTCTTTTACTTCTATATCATTTATTGCTTAAGGATTGTTTCTTGTCTAACTTTAAGATGCTATATCTAGGCTTGAGCAAATTACGTGCTACTTGTATGGAGAGAGTGCCATGGTTGTAGCTCACGAGTTCAAGTATCACCTCAACAAGGATCCACTAATAGTTATTATCCTCTTTGCTCTTGAAACTGTTCATGGAAGTGAGTGTATCATCAATTTGACATTTTGCCTAGCCTTCACTTCCTGTGTTGCTTATCTGCTTGTCATATGTGTCAGCTGAAATTGTATTGACAAGCTTTTCAACTGCTATGAAGTTATCTTTGACCCTCACATGGAAGAATTTTCTGAGTACAAGATGGCCATGACAACTAATACTCTAGCATCTGCATGAAGAACTATGTACAACAGACACTGAATGAATGTCTTTTGTTTTCTTTTTGGGCATTGGCTTCATCCACAGATCACTTTTGGACTTTTTGATATGTAGCTCAATTATAGACTATAGAGCTCTTTGTCAAAATCTACTTTACCTTGTCTGTTGTACCTATTTGTGGATTTCTACCAAATGATGTTAATATAATTAATGACAGCTTATTCCTCTATGGTCTTCATTGTATTGTATACTCTTTGGATGTTTGATTTCTTTCTGGCATTTTATTCTTAGTCACCACTTCCTTGTGGAATATAATGTTAAGGTCCTAGAATTTATATTTCATCATTTAATTGAATATTAAGTGTATACCTTACAAAAAATCTTTAACATGACAGCTTTGACATAAACACTTGTCATTATTTCAGCCAATATGAATGTATACAGCAAAGACCCTCTACAAAGATCTTCTTTCTTTCGTCCTTTTCTTATTTTGTACTTCAGTTGCACCCAAAACTTTAAGGCCTCCTTCAACTTGCATTAATAATATTAATTTCCATTACAAATATTTATTTTCTCTTCTAATTCCTTCCAGTATCCTTTTGTTGCAACTTTGAAAGGAATGTAATTAAATGCTTCCTATTTAAAAACATTAATGTTTACTGCATCTAAAATGTCACTTGCACATTATACATTATTTCTGCAATTTCACTCCTAAAAATGGATATCAGTCCTCTTCATTTTCGTCAGATTTCCATCTTAACCATTTGTATTTTTAATTCTTCCTCAACTTAACAATCAATTTATAGTTATTTCATCATGATGCTCCTTTGGATGTCAAGTTATTGAACATCATGACAACTAAATTTAATAACACCATATTTGAACTGAATTATGTATACACCTAGATATGACAGCACACGTAACTTCTCAGCATACTGTTTTCTACACAAACTATAAGTAAATGATATTTATTCTCAATACCTGTGCTTTTTTTAGTGTCTTATTTTACTTTATTTGCCCATCATTTCTTTTTTTAAACAAATCTTTTTTAAATAAATTAGATTGTGCCATTATACTTCAACTATACTTCTCACTTTCCAACTAACTAAAGTTCTTTTTGTGTTTGCAATTTTATTTGTTTCTGTTTCAAACCAACTAAACAGTCCATTTTGAATTTATCATCCCATCCTTAGTCACAAATATATTCCACTCCATAATCAATCCTCTCTTCTCAGCCTTATCAACTATCACTTCACCTCCACCTCTGCACAACCAGTCTCATCATTCCTACTGACATTGCTTCATAATTTAGCCGCCTATAAGTCTCTATTATGTTTACCTTGTAAGCTTCTTTCAGAGGTCCTGCTAAGCAAGACGGCTAAACTTCACTTCTTCTCAGTACACAATCCACTGTAATGCCTTTTTCAATCAGTAACTTATTTCTTCAGTAGCAGAGGGCACATTCTCAAATGTCTGAATCATTGCATTAGTTCTTGGAATTACACCAAATCAACTTTTATTTCTAATTACTACACCAAGCTACTAAATTTTATATTCTTTTAAAAACAAATTACTCTTCTGAAGTCTTGAATCCCAGTATTTTTGTCTTCTCCAAATGTGCAGCATGTTCATCCTCTTTCATGTCCACATGTACAATAGCTTTCATTAATGAATTCAAAATTATCTGTGCTTTCACATTTTTCATCCTTCCCGCCTACCCAATTTATGTTGTTACTCCTTTCCAATCAACTAAATCATGTAGCAGCGCCAACTTTTCAAACATGCTATCAAAACTTTCAGTTTTACCGCACATTTTTCACCTACTACAATCCACTACTGCCTCCTGACCTTCTCATTTGTTCTTCAGTTCTGCCTATATATATCAGCTCCTGATTCCTTATTTCTCTACCTCTCAAGAATCAATTTCTATCTTTACTTGTAATTGCTTTTGTTCTGCTATATCCTTCTGTGATTCCTAAGTTTTATTTTATACACTTACTTTCCAAAGTCATTTCTTTCTTCCTCTCATGAAGAAATATTCATGCACCATTTTATGAAATTATTTATTCGCTAATTCAATTCTCTGATGCCTTCTTTTATGCAGTTTCAGTATAATTACCATGGCTACTGAGGACTATGAACTGGTCAAGACTATTGATGACACTAAAGAAGCTTCCTCCCTTATTGTTAGAGTGATTAGGAAGTGGTGCCAGCTCTATAAGAGTCCCCCTCATCATTTAGCATGTATTATGTTCGTTTTTATAGATGAAGAGGTAAGATTAAATGTTTTATCTTTCATGCTTTATTGTCCTATCTTTCTGAATTTAATATCTTCTCCATTCCTCATTCAAGTATCTATCATGAACAGGGCAATAAGATACATGCTGAAGTCACAAACAAACAACTTCATGAGCAGTATAAGCGAGAGCCATCTGAAGGAGACATCATTTACATTGAAAATTTCACAATTTCACCTAACACATGGCCTTATAGACCCACATCTCATCCATGG